GCCCATTACAACTTACTATATACAAAATAAATAAAGAAGGAAAGACATACAACATAATTAAAAAAAATGAAAAAATATAAAGCTGAAAAGAAAACTACCTCCAATAGCTTCCACAAATTGAACCTATGGGTCACATATGACTGGTGGTTTGGGCCACCTAACAAGGACCAAATTCCACACTCCCCTCAAACTAGGTCATAGATATTGTAAGGACCCAGCTTATTATCAAATCAGCGAAGCTACCTGGTGGTAGGGATTTGGTGAAGACATCGGCGACATAAAAGCTAAGTTAGAATGTAGATTAGCTGTGTAATGCGATCATTGACCATTTCAGAGATAAAATGTTTATCAATCTCAATGTGTTTAGTCTTTTCATGATGCACAGGGTTTTTTGCAATACTAATGGTGGTTTGGTTGTCACAGAACATCTTTATGGGATTGGCCGCAACTCATTTAATAATCTTTGGATCCATATTCCTTCACAAATTCCTAAAACAAAAGGGCGAGTACTCAGATTCTGCACTACTTCTAGAGACTATTGCTTATTTCTTGTTCCTCAATGTGACAAGATTTCCCCATACATAGGAACAATGCTCGGATGTGGATCTTTCATCCATGTGTTCTCATGCCTAACTAGCATCAATATAAATTTTTTACTCGTTATCTAATCTCTTAAACAAAAACCCTCTGTCAGGAGTTTTATTAAGAAAACTCAATATTATGTAAATATTCTCTTGATGTTCTGCATTTGGACCATTCATATGTTGACTCACAATCAAACAAAATAAACGATATTAGGTCTAGTGTGTGTCAAATAAATAAGTTTTCTCACCAATCTCTGATATCTACATTTTTTCCACTAATGTCTTTTCTCCCCTGAATGTAACATTTTGTTGAAATCTATAAGAGGCTCAAAAGGTTTACGCCCCAACATTCTTGTCTCTTTTAGTAAGTCTTGGATGTACGTTTTTGAGATATCAAAATTCCCTTATTAAATCTGGCCACATTCATGCCCACAAAGTATCTCATAGAACCTAGATCCTTGATTTCAAATTCAGTGGCAATAGCCTCTTTAATCTTTCCAATCACTTTCTCATCATCACATATCAAAATCATATCATCTACATGGCTAATAAGTATAGCTTTTTTACCTCCCTGTTTATTCTTTATGAAAGGTGTATGATCAATTTGGCATTGGATGTACCACTAAATTTCGTAGCCTTGACAAACTTGTCAAATGAAGACCATGGACATTATTTGAGGTCATAAAATGATTTTCTTAGTTTACAAATCAGATATTTACTGATCTATTTTTCAGTGATAGTGGGATCTCCATATATACTTCAAGGACTTCATTTAAAAAGCCATTCTTGATATCAAGTTGATGGAGTCCCCACTTGCATCCTCAAGGCCTTCATTCAACAAGCCACTCTTTGTTCACTGCCAAGAAAAACGCTTACAGTATTTAGCTTGGTCGCTGATGCAAAATCTTTTTATTGTCTATCCCATAAGACTGAGTGAAACATTTGAAAATATTTCCATCTGATCTGTACTTGACATTGAACAACCACTTGCACCCAACAGTTCTTTTATCCGGAGGAAACTTTATAAAGGTCCATGTGCCATTTTGATCAAGTGCTTGGATCACCTCTCCAACTGCATTTTTCCATTATGGACTTTAAAGTGCTTCATAAATAGACTTGGATATCCACACGCTATCAAAATTAGATGAAAAAAGCTTTATAAGGTGATGATAACTTCCCAAAGAAAACATACTCCTGAATAGGATAATTTGTGGAACTTTCTCTGCTTCATTGGACTCCACCTCCTTTGTAACTTTAAAGATGTGTGAATTCAGGTTTGGTTGTGAATAGTCCTGTGGTTGCATATTATTTTAATCGTGCTTAGTGGATTTCTTTCTTCTATTATATACACAGAGTGCTTTGTTGTTAATATCGGGTTAGATATCCTTGAGTGGTGGAACTTGACAGACATGATGGGTAGAGGGTAGTAGAATATGTTGTGGTTACTAGTTCAATGTAGGTATCAAAAGTAGTGTCCCAAATCTAATATTCACCCAGACTCTCCGCTTAAATTTTAGATTTGGGGTGGTAGTATTATTTTCAAAGAATGTAACATCTCTGGAGTTATAATATTTTTTATTAACAAAAGAATAGATCTTGTACCCTTTTTTGTTAAACGCATAAGCAAGGAAGATACAATTTGTGAATTTTGGGTCAAGCTTTGTGTGGTTTGATTGGTGAATGTGAACAAAAGAAAGACAACCAAATATTTTTATAGAAATATTGGATGAGAAGGCTCTAAATTTTTCCATCAAAACATGGAGAGGAGCTTTGAATCTAATTGCACTACTTAGCATTATATTAAAGAGGTGGGTGGCTATAAGAACTGCATCTCTTCAGGAATATTTGGGATATTATGAGAAAGCATTAATATTCTTCTTCTCAGCTATCTCATTTTGTTGTGGAGTCTCAACACAAGAATTCACATGGATGATACTATTCTAAACAATGTATGGTCCAATGATCGAGTTAAAGTATTCATTTGCATTATCACTTTTGAGAATCTGAAATTTACATTGGAACTGAGTGAAATTATGTCATGCAGTGACTAAAAGAATTGTGCAGTTTCAAATTTCTCCTTTATGAAGAATATCCAATTGGTTCTAGTGTGATTATCAATGAAGAAGACAAATCATCTGGCTCCATTAATTACTTTTAATTTTGATGGTCCTCAAATGTCATTATGGATCATAGAGAAAGGATGTGAGTTTTTACTGAGATGAAGGATATACATAACGAGTATGCTTTGAAAGTTAGCAGATTTTACATTGATAAAACTCTGACCTTTTATTAATAAAAAGATGGGGTTGCAACTAATGAAAATTGAGATAATTCGGACAACAATGTCATAATAAAACTTGATTTTCAACAGATTCAGACACAATGGACTTAAGAACTTGAGAAGAAAATGGTGGAGAAGACACTTGTGTGTTAAGAGAATAACACTTTTTAACTAGGTATAAATCTTGATGCAATTCAACATTGTCAATCTCCTTCCTTGAATCCACCACCTAAAATTTACAAGAGTTAGAATGAAATTTAGTAACACAATTCAATTCAATTCAAGAGTAAACTTGCTAAGTGAAAGAAAGTTGCAATCTAGTATAGCACAAAAGAAGGTTGAATATCGTGGGATACTTTAATTTCTCTTTTCCCAACAATCATGGAATGAGATCCATCGATAAGTCTAATAAATTTGGAAGTAATGATCTCTTGGTGGTTTGTGAGAGCACGAGTGTCTTTAGTCATGTGATTAGAAGCACCTAAGTCAATTATCCAAGATTGAAATTTTCTATTGTTAGCAAGGTATGAGGATATGATACCTTTGTGTATCAACAAGCTGGTAGGTTGCTCAGTCGTGCTAGTAAAAAGCTTCTTCAACACCTCCAGTTGTTCCTTAATGAAGGGACTAATGTCAGCCAACCCTTAAAAAGAGGTAACAACATGGGTCTTGTTGTCTTGGTCTTTCCTCCCTTGTTCAGGTTTCTAATCTACATGTTTTCCATATAATTTATGACACTTATCCTTTATTTGATCAGGTTTCTTACAATATTCACAGAACGGACGATTTTTCTTTGGCTTTGAATCGTGAGAGGAGTTTTGTGTACAAAACTAAGCTTTTAGTGCTAGATAAGCTTCCACTTCCTATCACCAGAGCTTCTTCGTATTTATTCTCTTCTAACTTCAGCAAAGGCTTCTCTAGTGGTAGGGGAAGACTTCATTCTCATGATTCTTTCTTCCTCTCGTCACATCTAAGTTTTTTTTTAACCCAGTAAGAACTTAGTCATCCTCTTCTTCTCCACTATTGTTTTATACATCACATCATCTTACAGGCACTTCCATACATATGTATCAGACATATCTAACTATAACCAGTACCTCGATAGTGTATTAAAGTATTGAGTAACACTCAACTTTCTTGTCAGAGCTCATGCAGTTTTCTCTCAATCTTAATCGATTATGCAAGATTTTCAATATTTAAATATGCCTCACGAGCCTTCCCAAATCTCCTATGATGTCCTGTAAAGCAAAAAATTTTCTCAAATTTATGTGCTCATAGAAATGATCAACCAAGACATGGTCATATAATCCTGGATCTTCCATGAGCACTGATTAGGATCAGTGAGCTCAGGAACTAAGTCATCCCCCGTGAGATGTTCCTCTTTTCCTTTTCTGAATCTGGTTTGGATGGGATTAGGGTTTTTGCATTCTTAATTTTTCCTTCTTTTTTTTATTTTGTATTTGGTAAGTTGTAATGAGCTTAATTATGGTCGCCCCCCTATAACAAAGGAAAATATTGTACTTTGAATACAATGGAATAAGATAATATAGTTTCTCCACATTTCTACATAATATTAAGGCTTTAGGCTCGGTTTGGATGGGATTAGAGTTTTTTTTTATAATCCAACTTTGATTGGATTTGGAAAAAGGAAAAGAGGAACATTTCACGGTTTGGATGGGATTAGGTTTTTTTGCATTTGGTTGGATTTCATAAATCTGGTGCTAAATCCTATTCAAATGTGCTAGCAAACACCCCATAAGGATTGTCAAGATTAAGAATTCCAAGTGATTACTAGAATAATGAAGTTGATTTATAGCCAAAATCAAGTCGGAAGAACAATAAAAATAACACTAAGGATTGTGGATATGAAGAAATCTAAAAAATTAAAAAATAAGAAAAACTCATTTACACATTATCGGTACATTGTTCCATCCTTATCTTAATTTTGAGGAGACCTTAACTCATAACAAATAGCAGCAGTAAGAAAAGGCAGGACATTGTACTATTTAATGTTAGCTATGAGCAATAAATAAGCTTCCCAAAAGCTTCTCAACCAGATAAAATTATCTTTGTAAAATAGACCACGTGTAGATTTTAGTTTGACATATAAGAAGGAATTGTGAAAAAAAACTTACAGATAACAGCTAGGATCACTCCTTGCACAAGCCAAACAAAAAGCATGCTCACAAGGGATCTGCAAAAAACAAAAGAAGATTAAAAAAACAAAGATGTTTTAAAAAAAATCCAAATTAGATAATGCCCCACCAGCTAAATTCAACGTGCAGTCCAAACTTGTGAACCAAACTAGTTATGAACAAATATTTAGTATAAATAATGACTACTTGGAGTTGCATATTTCCAAGTTCCTTTCTGTAACGGTGACAATCTGTAAATGCAGTTACTTTTCCAGTTTGTTTACATGTCCAGTTTGTTTACAAATAAAAGGAGAACTTTTCACCAGTTAATATATCTATATTTTATGCTCTCATTTACAAGTCAACAGATTATTCACCGAGTGAAGAGAAGCACGGGAGTAGAATTCTACTCAGCAACCCAAGCCTAAATATGATAACTCACAACTAGGGGTGTAAACGAACCGAACACGAACCAACAAAGCTTGTGTTCGTGTTCGGTTCGTTTAAAATTTAGTTTGTTTGAAATAAGCTCGTGTTCGTTTCTTAACGAACGAATATTATATATTAATTATATAACTTATATTATATAAATATTCAATATCTATATTAGTATATTACTACTATAGTATATTAATATATTATTATTATTATTTTATTATATATTATAATTTATAAAATTTAATGTTTTAAAATATAATAAATTTTTTATATATAATTATTTTATATTATTTTATATTTCAAACAATAACGATTCGAACACGAACGAACGCATCACTGTTCGTGTTTGGTTCGTTTAACTAAGCGAACGAAAAAAATTTGTTCGCGTTTGTCTCGTTTACTTATCGAATGAATCGAACACGAACTCATTGACGAACCGAACACGAACTGTTCGCGAACAACGAGCTTTTTTGACAGCCCTACTCACAACTAATAGCCAGCTTGATTATGTCCAGCTCAACTTATATAAATGCATATATTAGAATATATAAATATATAAACATGTCATGCAGCACATTAAAAAATTCATATAGATAGAGCTCCAAAATGATATTTACATTCTCTTGTTAACTTCAGTATTTGTGTATTGGTTACATTTAGCAGCATTATGTAATTTAATTTTTTATGACATGATTGTAACATATGAACTCTAGCAGTAACTAGGATGATATTAGGGTGGCCATTATCAATGCATTAGAAGTAGTGGCATAAGTTAAGTTTGTGTGCACATGGTCCATGTAAAAAATTTAGCTAAATATGAAAAGCCAAGGTGCCATAAAAGTCAATTGAAGGAAATCAAGCCAAAAATGATCCCACTTGAGAGAGCATGTACCTAGTGCTTTTCCTTGTGGCCAAGGGACATAAAAAAGAGTATTCATTGTAGTCTACAAGGGTTCTAAGAAACTACCCACTTCCTCCGCAAATCAAGGGAGCATGCTAATAAAATTAATGAAATCAAATCTCCATGTAACGCCCAAATTTAGAGAAATTAAGTTCAGTACAACTGAAGAAGTATTCCAAAATTTTTCACCTCCCGAAATTTGATCGAAATAATTTTATTAAATTATACACATGAAATCAATTAATTTGATATAAAGCACCATGCATGAATAATGAATGGTTTGAGACATATAAACTTCTAAAATTATAAGTTTAATTAAATTAATTAAACTTTATTTAAACCTTAATTATTTTCTTAACCCTCTGTTCTTGTAGCCAACCGACCTCTTTTACGCCTTTTATTTAATTCGATCAATCGAACAGGCATGAATCTGCGCATTTTTCCCCTCTCTCCCTATTTTCTTTCTCCCAAACTCCCCCTCCCTGTTCCTTACACTCTCGGCAGAAGCAAGTGAGCCTTTCGACCCATTGCTACAGAGCACGGGGCAAGCAAGTAGCGAACTGAGCGGGCACAAGGTGGCTGCAAGTCGGAATTTAGGGCTCCGGGTGAAATCCAAGGGTACAACTCTCTCTCTCTCTCTCTCGCAATTCTAAGTCGCAATTCTAAGCCTTAATTCTCGCAATTCTAAGCCTTAATTTCCTTCCTCTCACTTCTGTATTGAAGTTTGCCTAGTTTTTTGTGTTTTTCTCGTTCACAGTGGCCGTCGGAGGCATAAATTGTGTGTCATAAGTATCATAATCATTTTGCAAGCTTCCAAAAGATAGCACAAGTTAGGGAGGGGGAAGTTAAGTAGGAGATGAAAAGAATAAAATTAGTCAATTTCTGATAGGCAGATTTATGCCGAAAAGACCATTTGAGGTATTTTTCAGGCGAACAAGTTATTATTTGGGTTAAATCCTTTTATGAACCTAAATTTTATGAATTATTATGATGTCTGCGCTCCCCAGATTATTTATACGAGACAACGAGCTCAAGACGAGCGTGTGGGCACTCGTCGTAGGGCTGCTCCATTTAGTCAGGTGAAATACTCTTATGTTAATCTAAAAACAAATAATATTCTATAGGTTTGCATATGATTTCTAGTTTGACATAGAAGCATCTAGATTTCATGCATATTGTAGATGATTACCTACTTAAATTTTATGAATGCAAGCGGACATCTTTTACTATATATATGATGTTATGTTATACTATGATATATTACAGGTAATCATTTATGATTCATACATGTTATACTATACATAGTGCAAGTATTCCTTTATGATTCATACATGTATATGAAATATCCATGAATGTATGTTATAATTATTATGCTTTAAAAAATGTCATGAGTAATGTATGGGTAGACTATTGCATGCAGAGATATATTCTCTGACTTCTGATATTTATCGAGGATAAAACTCTACGAACGTTGGAATTAGACGGTGACAAAACGTTAGAGAACCGTGGGTATCAAGGGGGTTGTCTATAACTGCTACGTTGAATAAAACTCAACCTTTATAGATAATTTATATGACCTTTAGGGCAGGGTGACGACCCATTATGAAGAACATTAAAATAGTTGAACATTATACATTAAACAAGTGACATTATTATGATATGATCTTTATGAAATGAATGAACATGCCTTTGATTATACTTATGATTTCATGCTTACGACCTACATATTACACTGTAGTCTTGTTTTCTGTATTTGCTTTGTTATGCTAGCATGTTATGCATTGTGTGTAGACATGTACAATTTTTTACAATGATTCACATTACTTCTTTTTATGTGTAAAATCTTATATTAGCTTTGATTATTTCTCTGAATTTGTTATTTGCCCATTCTTCATTGTTGTCTTCCAAGTAAGGGCAGATTAACAAGATTAGCAAAGTGGGAAGAATTTGTAAAAGTCTTCAAAAATTCATATATTCCGCTTTCAGACAGATTAGCAAGATAAATTCTTCAATCTAGCTCAAGGGTCCAAGACAGTTATGCAATATGAGGGAATTCACTTTTCTTTCGAGATATGCACCTCACTATGTTAGCACCCGAGAGAAAATTTGTTACAGATTTCTGCACAATCTTAAAGATCAATTGAGATTGACACTAGCTCCATTTGAAATTAGTGATAACTCTGTGGATGTTGAAAGTGCAAGAAGAATTGAAAGTGAACTGAACTTTTCCGATCAGAGAGACAACCTCAAGCATGCAAGCGAAAGGATTTAGGCAAAAGAGAACACTTTTCAAGCAAGAAAACTAAATCGGAAGGAAAGCAGAAGAAGCTTCAGATTGAAAAACCAGTTTGTGAAAAGTATGAAAAAAGATATTTTGGGCAATGTCTGTTGGATTCTGAAAAATGTTACAAATGTAGACAATCGGGACATTCAAATGAATTGTCCACAGGAAAAGAAGGAATACACCAGACCATAAGCAATCCAAGGATAGGGAATCTCTAGCAAATTTTTGGAAGGAAATTAGCCCAACAAAACTCAGTTTTTGGGGAAGCCTTCAGTGCAAACAAAGGGTAAAGCTTCATAGCACGGAGCTGAACCAACCATTAAGAGCCCGAGTTTTTGCAATTACCCCTCAAGAAGCCAAAGAATCAGAAGATGTGGTTACAGGTACACTCCTAATTCAAGATAAACCTGGCACTGTTTTATTCGATTCTGGTGAATCGCATTTTTTTATTTTTTGATGAGTTTGCTGCCAATTTAAATGCTGATATTATGCATTTTACTCTTGCTTTGTATGTTACTATCCCTCGCGAAGTGGGTTTAATGCCAATAGAAAATGTGAAGTGGATGTTTATGTGCATGATAAAAAGTTTCCATCATAGTTGATTATCATGACAATCCAAACCTTTGATGTCATTTTGGGGATAGATTGGTTAGTAAATCATTTTGCTATAATCGAATGCTAGAAAATGTGGGTGAAGCTGCAACTATCTTGTGAAAAATTATTTTATATTTTGTGTGATCGAAATGCACAATCTTCTTTGATTAATGCAGTGAAAAAGTGTTAGTGGCGAGCTGATATTTTTGGCAAAGCTAGAAGTGCTAAATAAAAATGTACAAAAATTGAAGAACATCCCACTAGCTTCAAAATTTTCTGATGTATTTCGTGGTGAATTGTCAGGGCTACTGCCAGAATGAGAAAAGGAGATTAGTAATGATTTGCAACTGGGAACGTCTGCAATATTCAAATCTTCGTACAGAATGGCTCCGAAGAAATTGCAGAAATTGAAATGCCAGTTGCAGGAATTGATCGATAAGTGTTTTATTAGGCCAAGTTGTTTATCATGAAGTGCTTCAGTATTGTTTGTTAAGAAGAAAGACGGATCTATGCGAATATGTATTGATTACAGAGAGTTGAATAAAGTGACGATCAAGAACAAATATCCTTTGCCCAGGAACAATGATTGCTTTGATCAGTTAGAAGGTGCAAATGTATTTTCCCGAATTGATCTGAGATCGGGATATTATCAAGTCAGATTCAAAGAGATGGATATAACTAAGACAGCTTTTGGAACTAGGTATGATCGTTATGAATTCTTTGTTATGTCTTTTGGCTTAACTAATGGCCTTGCAATTTTTATGCACCTAATGAATCGAATTTTCAAGTCATACGTGGATCAGTTCGTCATTATATTTATTAACGATATTATGATTTATTCA